TGAGCTTTAGTCTTATCTCCACTGCATGGTTGCTTCGTCGTCATGTTAGTTTAGAATAGGGAATTTAATAAAGTTTTTGGAGTTAAAAATGATGCAATGATGGGAGTTTTGTTGCATTAGTTCGTGGGTGGAGGAGGTGGATGCTAAGTTTTAGTGCATGGTTGCTTGTTGCTATAATTGTTTTATATATGATTGAGAATTTTGACCAATTTGGTAGCAATATGGTAGAATGACTAGAATTTTCTTGCATTATTTTAGAGGTGAGGAGGTTGAAGCTAAATTGTATTGCATGATTGCTTCTTGGTCTAATGTTCTATAATGGAGAATTTTAATCACTCGTTAGCGAGATGACTGATGACATAATGAGAATTTGATTGCATTATTTTAGGGGTAAAGGAGGTAGACGCTAAATGGATCGGATGGGTCGGTGTAAATGTGCCAGATGAAATTTGGCAGAGAGCTCTTACAAAAGCTCTAGCTGAAAAGGTATAAAGTTGATGAGCTCTTAACATTCATGCTTTTGTAATCTAATATAAAATGTTGTTATATTTGCAAACAGAGATGCATTCCAGTTTTCCTTGATGAGGAAATAGTGCACCAATATTACAATGGATACTGTAACAACATCCTATGGCCTCTCTTCCATTACCTCGGACTCCCTCAAGAAGATCGATTAGCCACAACCCGTAGCTTCCAGTCTCAGTTTGATGCATACAAGAGGGCAAACCAGATGTTTGCTGATGTTGACAATGAGCACTATGAAGAGGGGGATGTTGTTTGGTGCCATGATTATCATCTAATGTTTCTTCCCAAATGTTTGAAGGAATATAACAGCAATATGAAAGTTGGATGGTTTCTTCATACACCGTTCCCTTCTTCTGAGATTCATAGGACTATTCCATCTCGTTCAGATTTGTTGAGATCTGTTCTTGCGGCTGATTTAGTTGGGTGAGCAACTTTTTTTTGACTGAATACTTTTGTGTGTTTTCTGTTGTTTGCTTAGCACATGGCTTGGTATTCCATGACACTCTACATTCCACTATCTTCAACTTTTCTGCCACATGATATACACAAAGTAAGGCATATGCTTATGAAATTCAGTGAGCAGCTAAAGTATTCCTTTCTATTCACATATATGAATACAAACAAACATTTTTGAAGTAGTTTTAAAATCGTTCCCTTAATCTTTAAAGGACTATCTTATTAACTAAATTGAATGGAAGAAACGGATTCAGTGTACTAACCCTAAAAGTTTAGGACAGATGCTTCAATTTTTTTTCTTTTTTGGTTATTGTTTTACGTCATACCTACACATGAGATTAGATTCATATGCAAGTGACAGGATGGCCGAAAGTTGTAATTTCTTAAGTTTTTCATATTGACCAGACCACACCATTAAATTACCAATATATCTGTTATATGATTGCAACATTTCATCATTCTTTTCTTGAACACCGCATCAAAATAGCATGGTATTCGACGTGAATTTTGTATTTTTGAACTGTTTAGTAGTTCTTGCATCCTTGTTTTATATCTCACCTCCCCCCCCTCTCTATTCCTTTTCTTGTTTTCTTTTTCTTTTTGGCATTTTTGGGATTGTATAATGCAACACAAAGTCAGTGTTTGTTGAGCATTGAGCACATTTTGCTATATTTTTCTTAATGAGATCAACACTTTGTCTACTTACTATGAGTTCCCTTTATTTGTTTGATTTGTAGACTCTTCTAGATTCAGTTGGAGTGTCAATTTGGCAGATGAATGTAGAACCGCTTGATGATTGACCACATTCTAAGAAAATTAACTCACATCAAATGGCCAGTGGAGATGCAAATGATCTTTACAGTGATTGTGAGTCTGGTTGTACTGACGATGATTATGATTTAGATGAATCTCATACTGCATTTATTGGAAAAAATGATCAGCGGGTAGCCGTTGCCTGTGATGATGGTTGTGTACGATTATATTACATGTCCGATACAAATGGACTAACTTATTATAGATCATTTCCTCGAGTTAGCGGTTAGACTCATACACTTACCCTCTCTTTTTTTCACTTTTATAATACCTTTTACAGTAGTTATCAATCATTTTTATGTGCAGGACGCATCCTAAGTGTTGCTTGGAGTTTCAATGCAAAGCTAATATTTTCCGGCAGTAGCGAAGGGTATGTTTCATTAGTTGGCTGCAGCAAGTTTTGCTTAATTTTATTTGCAAAGACTTGTTTACTTCTGCTTGCCTGACTATATCTACAAAGTAGTTGGAAATTTTGAGTTTATTCTTTTCTGCTTGCAATTTAATGAAATTCCCTTCTCAGTTGTTTTACTTATATAACCAATGGATAATTGCTTCATCTATTCCTTCTCCTTGTTTGGTTCTAATACATTTTCTAACTTTTATAGTATCATAAGATGCTGGGACACTACATCATTTCATGAAATTTATCGCATCACAGCTGGCCTTGGTGGCTTGTGTAGTGGACCGGAGTTCTGTGTCTGGTCGTTGCTGTCCTTAAGGTACAAGGATATCTGGTTACTTAATAAGATTTCGACTTCTTCATTGCATCTAAGACTTATTTTATGATGCTTTTAGGTGTGGTACGCTAACGATTTTTTGTTCTTAAAGTCTCACCAATGATCCTCTGTTGTTAGCTTTTAATTTTTCATGCGCGTTATCAGATATATTTAATGCAATGTAATTCTCTATGCTTGGAATGTTATAATGACAAACATCTCAAACTTTTGAGTACTGGCTAACCTGCTTTGCATACTTCTTTCGCTTCTTGTAGGAAAACACAATTATTTACTTTTCATTTCAAAAGACAAAACCAACCAGCGCCATTGTAAAATAACAAGATTTAGATAATGTGTAATAACCAGTCAAACTAATAGTAATCCAATGTGTAAAATTTGGAGAAGGATGAAATGTGCATGTATGG